CATATGCTTCGTTGATCTGATTGGTTTATTTGGCCCGTCTATCACCAACATAGGCCAATCAGCTAACCAGTATTTTCGCCCCTTCCCAAAATTACTTAAACGGAAGGTTTCCAGATGGACATGCGAAGCAGATCCATCTGGCGGAGTCAGGTTAGCCGCCTTCACCCATCCATCTCAATCGCCTCTCTGGGGCGTTTCTCAATATGTGTACTTGTGCGTTCTCATGTGATCGTGTGCTCGAGAAACGTCATCAGCCTCAGCCCTAGTGATGTTCCAATTCACAAGAACAGCAGACCAAGGAACAGACAAAGTTCCCGGATATTGTTCTCGCCCCTCCCTATTTACCCAGCATGCATCAGAGCAGACTTGACTTGACAGACATATATTACTGCTTCCTCCACTGTCAATGCTTTCTTTGATTTGTTAATAAATGTTTTGTTTAGAGGCTTGTGTGATATTTATCTCTGTGGGGATTTTGTCTGCAAATGGAGGGGGGAAAAAAAAGAAAAATGGGCTTTAAGAATTTTTCTTTCTGTCTTTCTTTTGTTTAGAGGGGGTTCTGTACAAATGGAGGAGAGAAGAAAGAAATATGGGCCCGCCCCAAAAATTAGAGATCAGCTTCGACTGTTGTCAAAATAATTGGTGTTGGCAGTAGCCTAAATCATCCTGTATCTGTCCATCTCTTGTTATACAGTCTAGTATTTACCAAGTAATGAGCCAATCATCATTCCACAAAGATTAAAATGATTTCATGTTTTATACTCAGAAGTTTGTCTGTTTAAGCCTCTAACTACCAGTTTGTGCATTAACTGTTTAAGGGGAGGACATTTTTGAGGCCTTTAAGGCTGGAAATACAGCAGTTTTAAAACATTGGTGTTTACTTACGCCTGTGATAAACATGTTGTTAAAACCGCAGCAGCGCATCATGACCAGCTTCCGTCTGCTGCTTGCTAAATTACCCTGATTGTCATCTTCTCAGGTTTCCTCCTCTGCTCAGAGGAGATAACATCCCTCACTCTATCTGTCCCCAAACATCCCCCCCTTTTACTATCTTGCCTTCTCTAAATCCGGTTATCTCTCTGCTCTCATGATGATGATGATGATGATGACCGTTGGCATATCTTTTTAATCTTAACAGCACGGCTTGCTATTTCCCCTTTTCTCCCCCACATCAGTACGTAGCACTTTTTGTCATCTGCTATGAACGTAAAAGTCACACATTTAGAGGAAATTCAGTGTTTTCTTAATCTGAAATTGATGGTAAATAAAGTTTAATGTGTGCTTCAGAGGATAATCTTTGGAGTAAATCGTTTAATTTCTTTGTTGTTGTTTGAAGAATCTCCAAAAACATCCCCACCACCAAGGATGTGGAGCCGCTGCTGGAAATCGATGGAGACATCCGCAGCTTTGAGGTCTTCCTCTCCTCCAGGACGCCCGTTCTCGTGGCCAGAGATGTGGAGATGTTTCTACCCTGCACCGTCAACCTTGACCCCAAACTCAGGGAGATCATAGCAGGTTTGTAAACACTCGTCTCTGAGCTTTCTGGCCTCTCCTGACGCCGTTTACAAAGACATCTGAGTAGCATCTAATTGAATGAATCAGTCAAACTCCAACCTTTGATTCGGTCAAATTATTACTTCATGGGGAAATAAATAAAGCTGTTTTTAACTTAAACAGCAGTGTCTCATCAGTTTACTGGTTTATACCCAACTAGTAGAGATGCCTCTCTGCAGCCACCATTGGGTGAAAGGCCAGGTGTTCATGGACAGATGACCAACCATAATCACAGGGCCACACAGACACATCCTGGAATTAGAAAATAGATGCAGTTCAGATCTAACTGACCAAAAACAGGAAGCATTTAGTTCACTTTATTGTCAGTAATGAAAAAAGCAGCTTATTTATGTACAAGTTTGGTGTAAAACCAAATGTTTTTTAGCTTTTACTTTAGGGCTGGGCGATATAGAAAAAAAGCTTATCGATAAAAAAAAAAAAATGCATATTGATCGATATCGATAATTATTGAAAAGATTTGAAACCATATTTTATGCGCAGCTCTGCCTGGACTTTTTATGATATTGCTAAATGATTTAATTTTAATAAAGAACACAAACACAGACTTCGAATTAAATCTTTATTTAACCAACTTTTTTAACCATAACAGAATTGTTTTAAAGAAAAATAACTTAAGAGACCTGATTAGTTATTAAATACTGACAAAGAATAAACTAAAGTGACCAGAAAAGTGACCAAATTAAATATAACAAATAAATAAATAGAATACCCTATTTGGGTGGGAATAGTACACCACCAGCTTGTGGTAATTAAAATATTGTAGGACTCTAGACTACCATGTAAACTCCACTCAACAAGAACAAAAACCCAAACAAAAATCAACTCACCCTTTAGCCTAGCATTTCTATGGGGTATTTTTTCTCACCCCTATTCTTCTAGAGGTGCTGCTGGAACCTTGTTATGGTTCAGCTTAGTTCCTGCTTTAACCTGAGTTATTACTTTGAAGTTGCTGGCCCCTCAGCATTTTTCTCTCTATTTCAATTCAATTCAATTCAGTTTATTTATATAGCGCCAATTCACAACACGTCATCTCAAGGCACTTTACAGTTCAACCAGATCATAAAGTCAAATTGATACAAAGTTTTCTATCTACGGAAAACCAGCTGATTGCATTGACTTTGGTCATAAATTGTTTGGGTCATAAATGTTACAAACTCTGCCTTACATTAGAAAACATCTTTGATTTGTTAAAAATTTCTCAGAAAAGAAAAGTTTGATCTGTCTTTTTTGTTCTTTCCACCGCTAATAGCTTAGCATAATTCACAGTTTGCTGTTTGTTTCCTCGTCTCGTTTTCAAACAGTTAAACACCAAGCGGGTGTTTAACTGTTTTTATACCAAAGACTGTGAAAACAGAACAATAAAGTCCTCCATTGTCTCGGCTCAGCTTGTTCCGCCGTTCTTCTCCAGATTTCACAGCTAGTAGTCACTGTGACGTAAAAGAGCATCAGTGCTGGACTCGGAGACACCACTGCTGCTGGGATGCGTAAGCGGCATCTCAGGCCTTACAGGAGCGTCAGCGATGCCCAGTGTGAAGCTGGCGTGGTGAAAACACTGAAATGAAACGGTCCCACCCACACTGACGAACTGGAGGACACAGGTGGACAAGATCTGCAGCTTGACGTAGAGCCAGTAACTCTGTCGGCAATACCCTCATATGTCATCAAATTCTTTTCATTTATTTAGGTTTTAATGCTCTGTTACGAGATTTAATGTGAGGAAAAATCATTAATTATTTTATTATTCTTTTTGCAAACAAAGTGAAAAGTTCTGCTTGCTTTCGTAAGCCTCATTAAAATGAGTCTAAAAACTTTCCTCTAGTTTCCCCCTAATTTGTAGCATAGTTTCAGTACAGAGGCAGCCGCTCTGAAGGTCTCAAAGGTTGGACAGAGAACATTAGTTCTATGGAGCTGCTGGATGAAAATTGATAATCTAGAGTATCTATAATCTGAGACAAGAAGCTAAACATTTATGTTAACTCATTATACTGGACTGGACATATGAAGCAGACTTGTCTTTATCCCATTTTAATGCATTTACTATTTTTATTACCTTCAAAATTAAGAAAAAAAAATGATTTATTATTATTTCTCATTATAAACAAATTATGTAATTATTGTCATTCCCCATATTTGACAAGGAGAGTTAAAATAAAAAGCAATTCAATTCAGTGTATTTACTATTTACAGTTTATTTACAGCCAAGAGGGTAAATCTGGATGAGCCACTGAGATCCGAGATGCTTTGGAAGAATCTGTGCAGCCATTAGTTGTGCACCAACATTGTCTTTATGGAAGAATAATAATAAGAAAGCTGTTGTTAAAAGAAAACAATATGAAGTCCAGTTTGCTGATAGTCAGAAGTCCTGATGGGGACCCAGCAAACATGTGGAAGAAGCTGCTTTGGTCAGAACGTCTGACACTGCACATCACTCTGAACACACCATCACCACTGTTAGATATGGTGGTGGCAGCATCATGCTCTGGGGCTTCTTCTCTTCGGCAGACATAGGGAGGATGGTCAGAGCTGATGGAGCCAAATTCAGGAAGGAAACCTGTTGGAGTCAGCAAAAGAAAGGAGACTGAGGCGGGGGTTCAAATTCCAGCCTCAACGTGAAGCCAGAGCTACAGTGGAACTCTAAAAAAACCAAGCTGTTCATGTGTTAGAACGGCCCAGTCAAAGTCCAGATGCAAACCCAATCAGAATCTAAAAACTGCTTTTCACAAACCTTCTCCATCTAATCTGACTGAGCTTGAGAGGTAGAGATCAACCATGACAGACTTGCAAAAGGTCAGTGTGGTACCAGTACGAACTCAGGAGGCTGAATACTTTTGATGCCTTTGTGTTGAAAGGAAATCATCTATAATTATCTTTCTACTTCAGCTGTAAAACACTCTGTTTTGCTCTTTTGTATTAGATTCCAATAAAATCTATTTATGTCTGTGGAAAAAGTTGAATGATTTGTCTACAGCGCCGGCACAGTGCTGTTTAGGTAGGTGTTTCCTGGTGGGAACCTTCTAACGTAGATATTCTCTGCTGCACAGACAGCAGAACTCATTAGATTTACTCAGACATGCATGAATCAGATAGAATACCACTCTGCCTGATTTTCATGAAATAACTTAGAGCCTTAGAGCAGTTTAAAGGTCAAAAAAGTTGATTTAGCAGGATATAGGCCCTTTAACAAAAAGTCCTCCTGTCAGCCATTTAGGTAGATCAGGATAAGTGGTATGAAAAGACTCCACATAAGCTTAAACGCTCCATATTCTAGGTTTAGCATAGTGGTGGAAGTGTCGTGCTGTGGGGATCCTTTGTTTTCAGTAGAGATTGGGAAAGCTGGTCAGACATAGTGGGGAGGATGGATTGATTTAATTCCCTGAAGAATTAGGGTGGAGGTTCACCTCCTAGAATATGGAGTGAATTCTGTTCCATTATTATTGCACCAAAGAAGACATTTTATGAAATTTGAAAAATGGGCAATCAAGAAATGAAACTTTAAATAGCATCTCAAAATGTTTTGAGAACTTTGCAGTTCTCTATTTTTCATAATCTATTTTTCCAAAACACTGTTTGTGGGCTTATATTTTAAAATTCTCTTTTTTATCGTTTTACAGGTTTAATATTTTCTCTTTCTTTTCAAATTTCTGGTTTTTGGCTAGAGCCGTAAAGATTTTATTCTTTAGAATTTCCATTTTCAAATCCCATTTTCTTCACTTCTGTGAAGTGAAGAGAATGTGATTGGTAAAATGCAGTTTAAAAAGAATGCATTTTGTAAAACTTACCCTCAAGAACACACAAAAAAAGATTATCTGAAATAAAACACAAACATGATTTTAAAAAGTTAAGTGGACAACAAAATCTGAGAGTAACATCAACGTCAAACTGTCTCAAATTCGTTTTTTGATTGATGTTTTCCAAAGTTAACTTTCTAGATTGCATTTTATTTTTCAATTTACAGTGTTTTTTGTTTCTTATTACAACAATAATGGAGTAAAATTCACCCCATACCAGCAGGACAACCACCCTGAGCTTTCAAAAAGATGAATTAGAATGTCCTAGTCAAAGTTCAGACCTAAATCAAGCATCAATAGATGTAGGAAGAGACAAACCCAGATAATTTTAGCTGCAGTATTGAAATATTTAAAAAACCTTCATAGTTTTCCTTCCACCTCCCACTTTTGCCACAATTTAATAAAAAATCTGACCAAATGTTTAGGGAGAGTGAAAACTTCTGGTTGGCTCCAAATGCGTGTAAAGGTGTGCATTTCCACCTCCTCAGTGAGAGGAAGCGGAGCAGCCCTGCAGGCCCAGTCAGCCCCCAGCGAGCGGTTGGTGGTTGATGCCCAGTGTCCTGTGGTCAGCCAGTGGGCAGCGCTGTCAGCGATACCCGCCCCTGAGCCTGACTCACATCATAAGGGCCCCATTGTGTTCACAGGCGGGATTGGGTCTCACTCGGCGCGTCATTCAGCTGCCACTTGTATGACTACGAGACATTCTGGTGCCTGCGCACACAGAGCCGCTCTGTTCCGTCTTTGTGCTCCTTCGCTTTCGTTTGGGAGGTTTTACCCGAGCCTGTTTACGTGTCGATGCGCTCCGCTTTGTGTGATTGGATGGTGAGGAGCAGCAGGTTATGTATGTGAATCACCTCTTGGTTGTCAGATAATCCAGGAGGACAGAAAATCAGAACATCTGTGCAGAAAAAACAAAAAAACAAAACCACTCAGGAATGAAAGCTGGAATAAAAGCCCATTTTGGACATGCAGGACACCGGATACATGCTTGAAATTCCCAGCAGGACTTTGAGCATCCAAGAAGTTTCCTCTTGCATGCATCTGATGTTTGATAAGTGTTTCTGCTCTGTTTTAACTCCCCCTCTGGAGATCATAGAATAAACCCGAATGATTGAAGCGTGGGTGGATCTGAAGGGTCTTTATAGTCATCGCCAAGACGCCATCTCTGATAAACTCTCCTCTGTGTTCTGGTTTGTCCCCCCCCCCTCGCCCTCTCTTAGACGTGCGTGCGGCCAGGGATCAGATGCATTTAGGAGGGGTGACCTATCCCACGCTGCCCCTGCAGGAGGCAGCGCCCCGTCCCCAGTCCGGGTACGGCCAGCTCTCCGCCGCCTGCTCCCCAAGCGGCTCCTTCGCCGGGTCCCTGCCGCCGCAGCCCCACAGCTCCTACTTCAGCGGGATGACGGGCCCCCAGCACCCGTTCTACAACCGGGTGAGACGCAGCGCTCCTCCATCAGCCGTCTATAAAACCAGTCACTCCAAAACAATTCCCACATTTTCTGTCTTGTCTGCATGACCCCCCCCCCTATGATTTTATGATTTCTGTTGGCCTCCTCTTGTCTCCCCAAACGAATGTGCATAATTTCCCTTCTTTCTCCCCCCGTAGCCATATTTCCCCCATCATGTGTACCACCTGCCACGACATTACCCTCACCATGTTCCCTCATCCTCGCGTCCTTCCATTAAACAGCCCAGCCCACCTCAGGACACCAGCGGACTAGTAAGTAAAGAAGAAACACCAGAATCTGCTCACGTTTCCTTTGATCACAGCAGCAGATGTTCTCTATGCTGAAGTATTTCTTCTTCATCCTGGTCCGTGGTGTCGCTCTGCTGCATGAACAAACCAAAGAAGCCTTACCTTCCCTTTCTTTTCAACTCTTCCTCGTGTCTCACCTTTTATCATTTTTCTTTCAGTGCCTTGATTTCCTCCTTTTTTAAATCTGATTTGCTTTTTTCCCCTGATGTTGATGTTAATATTTTCTTGTTGCTGATGCTTCTATGCTTATGTATTCACACCCCGGGACCTTTTTCATCTTTATTCACATTCCAGCTCCAAACTTGAAGGTATTTTATTGGAATTTGATGTGTGAAACAAAAAAAAGTGGATTATTGTGAAGTAAAGAAACAAAAACATTTTTACATATAAAATTCAATGAAGGCAAGTTTATTTATTGATGTGACACATTTAAAAAACAATTAAAATTGCTGTACATGAAGAAACATGATATAAAAACAGAGAAAAGTATATTGCAATAGCCTAGAGGTAATTAAATAATCATTGAAAAAGAACAATTAAAGACAATAAAACGAATATTAAAATGAAAGAAAGTTGGATTACAAATTTAAACTGATGTTTAGACAAAGGCCACTCTAAATAAGCATTTAATCTCTATTTCAAAGCAACACAGTGTAATCTTTAGCCACTAGGGGCGCTACACCTGAAACAGCCAGGGTTAAAACCCCTGAAACTCCTGGAAACACAACAAAACGCAGCAAAGTCACTTTAGCCGCTTTAGATTAATTCATACATCAGCGAACCAGAAACATGTCTGATCAGGTCAGGGTCAGATCTCATTGCTTGGCTAACAACAACTGTTAGCTTAGCTTTGGTGTTTAAAAGGGTCATAGAATGCAAAACTGCGATTCCATTGTCATAGATGAATAACGATATTTCAGCGTGTGAAATGGACGTACAGAGAAGTTTCATCATCAACACCACTTCATGGCAGAACCAAATAAGGCAAGGTTTTGGTTCTGGTATGAAGTGTCGACTGCTGGGCCGCTGATTGGACCGGACCTCAGCAGAGAGCCATGAGCCGCCCGTCCTCAGCCGGAGGAGGTGGGCTGAAAGGGTCGGGTTCGGTCGCTACTTTCCCGCGGGCTCCAACCCCGGAGCTCACGACTCGGTTCTTCTGCACTGTAGTCGACCAAAATCCCAGACGATTTTGAAATTCCCCCCGGACATTTTTTCAGGTGTGAAAAGTAGGACATGTCCTGGAAAAAGAGGACGTCTGGTCCCCCTACCATATCAACAATTTGATGTTTCAGTGAGTGAGGGCTTGTTGCTATGATGCATCTTTGCTGAGCAGCTTCGCTCGTTGTAAACCAACCAATCAGAGCACAGCTCATCTAAATATTCATGATCATACCATAAAAGGAAGAAAAAACCTGTGGTTTCATTCTAGGGCTTTTAACCAGGCTGCATTAGGGCTCATAGAACAGCTAATATGACATTTTCAGCCCAACCAATGTTACACACCCTATTAGAGACCTGAAGTACCAGATACCCTATAGACTCATTGTATCACCCCTTTAAAGGAAGCTCAGACTGCTGTTAAGTGGCGCTCTGGGTCACATGACTTATATAGAGATGGATTCACATGAAATCATTCATAATAAATACTGATACAGCAGTTTTAGTTAAAGCGCACCCACATAAACTATTCTCCACCTGCATTCTGATTGTTATATGTGTGCAGCTTTAATATGATGAGGACCCGTATATGTCATGCTCTCTTTCTGGGCTGCTGGTTTGCTTTTTAAGTCCAGTAGCATCTCTCCTACTCAACTGTAGACCAGTCTCTGTGCGCTCATGTCAGCTTTTGTCACTTTGAGGGTGGAACCAAACTGATAAAGTAAACTGCCTGTGATGGCTACTTTTTAGCTTCTAGATAATCCCTTTAAGAGTTGAATTCTGACAGCCATGTTTGTCATCATCTTTATAAACCTAATGCTGGACATGATTGGAAAAAACTGATCGTAAATGTAAAAGTTTTTGTTAGTTCTATAAACTAGAGTTCAGTAAGGCTAACTAGTTAGCTTAGCTTAACTGTTTCATAGGAACAATTTTGAAGCCAAATTAGCATTGCTACTGCTCTCACAACAAATTCATAACTATGCTAAACTAAGTTATTTAATGGTGAATTTACTAGACCAGTTATAGAATAGAATAGAATAGAAAATCCCTCTATTGTTCCATAATGGGGAAATTCTGGTGTTTACAGCAGGAAAAAGATTATAGAAAAAATGGTCACACAAATAGGAAAATGCAAAAGAATAACAAAATAGTAAAGAGTTAAAAGATAAACAAATAAAATATGCACTGTAAAGTGTTTTAACAATATAAAACTGCACTTGGAGAATAAATAACCAATATACAGCTATGAACATTTTATTTTATGGATATTTGAAAATAGCAGCAACATCAGAGATGTACTAAATGACAAGTGCATGTTATTTAACTGTCTAAGATAGGAACTGCAAAATCAGTATGAATGTAACAACTTATTGAAGTTGATGGGAACAGTGGTGGTTCTAGAGTCTTCCAGCTGCTGAGAGGAAGGATCTGTGATAACGCTCCCTGGTGCATTTAAGGTGCAGCAGTCTGTCACTGAAGGAGCTGTCCATTTCAGCACCAGCTTCATGCATGGGGTGGGAGACATTATTCGACACAGATGTTCATTTAATTATGATCCTTTTGTTTCCCACCTCTTGCACTGAGTCCAGTTTAACTCTTTAAGAGAAAAGCTATTAGCCTGTAGATGCTTTGCTAACGTTACTAGCTGCAACCAGGAAGAAATCGATCCGACCCTCACAAGTTACACAGGCAAGTTTAGAAGATCCGCCCAGACAGCTTTGATACGCATCAAGTGTTGAATATTGAGCTGAAAATCATTTACTGCATCTCAATATTATAGTAATACTGGGGTCAAAGGTTACACAGTGTTGCTTTATAACAACTTAACATTTTAGCACTTTATTAGCTTTGCGGGAGTTTATTTTACTAAACTAAAAACTTTGGGTTTGGGTTTTTGGAGTGTTGGCCTAGCGGTTAGAGCAGTGCTCTTATTCTCTGAGAAGTTTGCAAGTACCCGGTTCGATTCCCACAGCCGGCACTCTAAGTCCCCACACTGCTCCCTTGGTGCCGCACAGTGGCAGCCCAAGGATGCCCAAACTAATGGGTTAAATGCAAAATTTAATTTCACTAGTGTGAGATCAATAAAGTTCAGTTATTATAATTATTAGTTTTTATTCTTGGTGAAGTAAGTCCAGCTGAGGCAGAATGTATGCTAACCATCTATGAACAGTGGTTTTCAAACTCAACGAGGAATTTCTGCTAGATTTAGATCTAGACTTTGACTAGGCTGATCTCTCCCATTAATATGGTTCTATCTAAACCCATCTGTATGTTCAGGGTGGGTTTTCTGCCGCACACCTGCAGCCTCCAACAAAGTTTCCTTTGCAGCTCCTCCAGAGTCACCCTTTGGCTCCTTTCCTGATCAACACTTTCTTTTCCAGCCTGTTGGTTTAGGTGGACCTCCATGTCTTGGTGGATCTGCAGTCGATCCATCCTCTCTCCATGCTCAGATGAGGATTGAACTGAGCTGTTGGAGATGTTCAAACCTGCTTTAATCCCCTCTGATCTTCCTCTGTCTGCTGGTTCCCTCTGTCTTTATGATGCATGTTGTTCCTGAATGTTGTCTAAAGCAGGCATCCCCAAACTTGGTCCTCAAGGCCCGCTGTCCTGCAGGGTTTAGAGGTGTCCTTGCTCCAGCACAGCTGATTTTAATTGAAAGCTGATTAACAGGCTTTTGGTCTACTGCAATCATTATAACTAGCTGTGCTGAAGCAGAGAAACCTCTAAAACCTGCAGGACAGCGGGCCTCGAGGACCGAGTTTGGGAATGCCTGGTCTAAAGTATTCAGTGAATTTTGTTCTACTATTGTTACAAGTAAAGAACATGTTTTGTAAATTCAAATTTGGAAAAAAAAAAAAAAAACAATCTAGAAATGTAATCTTTGAAATACTTGATAAACAAAATTCTTTAAAGAAACTTTGCTGTTTTCTCAGATTAAAAAAAAAGTTTAAATTGTTTTTAATATTCCATTATTCTAAATGTTATTTTGTTAAGGGAAGTCTACCCCCAGAAATGAAGAGAATGTGATCTGTAAAAAGCAGTTTAAAAATAATGAAATTTGTAAAATTCAATCTGAAAAAGAAAAAATATAAAATATTTAAAAATAAATTTAAAACAGTCTGTAAGATTTCTTTAAAAAAATATACAAATTGTAAAAATAAAATAGTAAAAAGAAAATAAAATAAAAAGTCAGAGAACAATCAAGTTGCTTTCAAGACCTATTTTATATTAAAACATAAAAAAGAGATTTTTTTTTATTTATATGTAAAAACCGTTTTCTTTTCTTGCACCAGCAATGGAACATAATTCACTCCATACTCTAAATCTCAGACACCAAACATCTGCAGCTATAATAGTAAAGATAGATGTAAAACAGACTCTGTTGACTTTTTTATTGCTATTTAGGGGGTTGTAGGGGTTTCTGAGTGAAGTCGAATGAAAAAAAAAATAACTTTTGAGATTTTTATTTCTTAAAATAGAAAACATTTATTTTAACATTTATGATAAATTTTTTTTTTGTCTCCTAAAATCTTAATTAATTCAGGAACAAAATGTGAGGAAGTGTGAGGGTGTGAATACTTTAGCCAGACTATGTAGACTCCTTTCTTACAGGCTAAAACCCAAAATAGATAGAAGGTCAAAGGTCATCTGATAAACTGTACGGTGGAGAATTCAGCCGTCATTAATCCTCCTTCTCATGCAGCCTTTGTTTCCGTTCTGCACCCATGTCAGGATGTTATTGCAGAGGATGCCAGGGAGGGCCTCCCCTCAAGCCCCTGTGACCCGGCTATGGTAACCCCACTAACAGGAGATGCATTAGCATCCGCAGTCTGCACCTTCCCTCAGTACTGTGCAGTCAGAGTAACCCAGCATTATCTGCCTGGTGACCTGAAAATGCATGAATGCTTGGCAGAAAACATGCAAGGCATAAGATCACATAAAGAAAAATGTTCAACTTTTAGTGATTAATGCAAGTTTCCAATCAGTCACAGACTTATGAGTTAATGGTTTATTTCCAATATGCCATCTGGTTCATATTGCGAACATCTAAACATTTGAGAAATCAGAGAAATATGACAAGTAGTTACTCTGTGATGTCAGTCAGTGTCCACTCTGCTAAAACAGAATGAAGTTCCTGTTGTGTTGTTTTCACTGTTCGAGGAAAATGATAATCTTTATCTTGAAATCTGACCTTTTCGTGTCCAAATGTGCGTGTTGGTGCACCCGGGAAGAATCGTCTTTTAGTGGCATTGAGAAAAGCTCACTGACGTGCGTCTAGACGGGTCGAACGACTTGCTAAGCGACCCTCGTCAACATCGCCTCGAGTCTGATCGGCATGCTCTGGGAAAACCAGAGCCAGTTTGACCCATTAAATTACGTGACACCATTAAACCCAACGTACGGACGTCAACACATCACACCAGTCGCTTCTGCTCAAACAAGCAGAAACAACTCTGTTTACATTTGATAAACATGGAGCGGAGTCAGAGAGATAATGGAGCGAAACAATAAAGCACATTGACTACGCTCTGGAATCCTTACATGTTGCTCTCCATTGTTTACTTCCCTGATTTCTGTCACACTGGTGACATAAACGCTAACCCAGCATGATGATGTCACCAGACGCGCAGCTGCCAGTGAGGGGTTAGACCTGCGTTTTTTGCCAGTGAGAAGGGAGCCAAATGGTGATTGTAAGCTAATTGACCCATATTTGAAACACCCGGTTTAACGCTCTATTTTCATTTATTTAAAGTTCAAATCATTCTGGCTTAAACGTATATTTAAATTTATTATTATCTTCCCAAAATTTAGAAAATTTCTATTTAAAAAAAAAAACAAGTCTTAAAATCAGTTTTTTTTCCCGTTATTTTATGCAGGTTAGTTCTACGTCAGCCTGTACACCTAAATTCGGCCAATCATTTATCAACTGTCATCTGTCAATCAAATTTTTTCGGTCATAGCATCTTGATTCATATGTCGCAGCTAATATACGCAACGGTTGAAATCAGAAACCAGAATCATTTCCTTTCCCATTGAGTTGCGTCCCAGTGTTCACGGGGATGGACGTCTGTGTCTTCAGCAGGCGTAGAGCTAACAGAACTGGCAGCGTTGCGAGGCAAGGGCTCAAACATGTACGGCTGGAAGCCTTCTACACCAAACCAAGCTTCTGCCGCCCTGGCGTCCTCTTCCACAACATCTTCGTCCCCGCTTTCCTCCTCTAAATAAAAAATGGATGACGGAGGAGACTCATCCACGACCTCCGACACTAAACTCTCCTCCTCTTGCATGTTTCCTCTGTCCATAGCGTTCCTTGACAGCGTCGTTTCTAAGTCACCAATTTAGTGCTACTTGGTCCCAATGGAATTTCCCATTGGGAACCTGCTAGCACTAAGTTGCTAACTGGTTAGCAAGATGCTTCAGAGAAACCGGCCACAACCAAACATGCTTGCGAACCTTCCGCCACAACAATCCCACCCCCCTTGATAAACGACCAATCACATTTGATTTCACTCGTGTAAATTTGTGCACCACTCAGGAGAATTTCGATCTGTAACTGTTGGAACAGCCGCTTACCTACGAATTTAAAGTTCTGGAGAGGTTTGCCGTACAATCGCAGCACTTTCCATCTACACATAGCCAGCTTCTTTAGCGATGGCCTCTAGTTGAGGGTTTGACCCTCTGCTCTGCAGGTGTGAACTTCGTCTTCTATGAAATTGTTCAACGTTTTTAAAAAGATGTTTTAATGTAATTAAAGCAATACCCCATCATCACCAAAATGAACAGAAGTAAATGTTTGAACTGTACCAATAGATGGGAGATGTTGTCTGGCTGTGTGTGTCTGCCTGCCTGCAGACTGCATGCGGTGTGACCTCCTAACATCCTGATCAGACTGAACGTTTCTATAGGAACCTACGACCTTCTTGCTCAAAAGCAATTTAAGAAAAAAAAACTGATGCAGAGAGAAGTGAACCTCTGCGTCTCCAGAACAGAGCAGCTTCTGTTCGAACAGTTTAATGATAAGACTACTCAGGAGACTTGTGCTTATCAGAGCTCAGCCAGCAGGCAGTGAGAGGAGCTGCGTGAGCGATGGAAGCCTAGATTAGTCCACAACGTTTTAGTTTCCTCTTATCTGTCAGGAGTTTGGGGGTTTGTACGTATTTAAATCCTGCTCTTTATGCTGCTCGTATCTCCCCCTCCTTTTTCCCTTTAATGTCAGATTCGACGCATCCGTCCCTTTCCTTAAAGTTCATGCTTGGTCATATTGTGCAGCGCCAACGTGTGCCGTTTCTGTACGTCGGTGAGCGGCTCTTTGGATTGTAAGCGGGAGTGTAATTACCGAGCTGATGTCTGTGTGAGTACGGTTCCCCGTGGCTGTCGGGATTATCATCAGAGCGACTGTTGGGGCTGGCAGCACACACACACACACACACACAGGCGTACTGTACGCTGACAATGAGCTCAGCTCTGGTGGAGCTTATCTCCATACCAAGATGCTTCCTCCCTCACAGAGCTCTGTTTCCTCTTCCCCATCCTCCTGCCCAGCCCTGAGCTCGGCCCAGCTGTAATTACACCCTTATCACTCTCACACTCCGGCAGGGTTCACACATGTATTCACGCTTTCTGTCTGAATCTTCCCTGAATTGGAACTTCTGCTTTTGTCGAGTAAAAAGGTGGCTCTTTTCTGTCTGCAAAGATTAGGGGCTGCAGCAGAAACAGAATCGTCTTACTGTAATAGTTCAACATCTACGTTTGTGCCGCCGATGCCGGTGGCTGCTTTAAGGAAGTCGTCTCACGCGCCTCTGTGAGACGGATACACGTCCACTCTGTCCTCTGTCTGTTTGTCTACGTGTTCATTTCTGCCCTTCAGCTTTGTTTGCAGGTACGGCCTCGGCCGTGAGGCGCACCGAGTCCCTATCTGTGGTTCTGACTGTTTGCTTCTTATCTTCTAATCAAGCATTTAAAATCGCTGCCTTGCAAACTGAAGCAGGTACATGTTTGGTTTCTGCGCCTCTTTTAAATTCACCCTCCGTTATCCACCCATCTTTCACGCTAACACTGCTACCAACCTGCATGCTGTAGGACAAACACTTCTACACAACTCATTAGATTCACCAACATTCAGTTTGGTTTTACTGAATTATTAATCCCTCTTCGGTTTTTTTTTTATTATTTGTCACGTCACAAATTGAATGTATCTTAGTGGGATTTCATGTGATCGACCAACAGAAGGTAGAGCATCATTAAGTGGAAGTAAAACAATGCTTAGTTTTCATCCTATGAAGTAAAACCCAAACAGCGTCATGTGCATCTGTATTCCCTTATGTCTAATCCAGCCCTACCAGTCGCTCTAAGAATCCATCTGTGTGAAGCTTAATCTCAGTTTAACTCTAGCTAATCTGTCAAAGCCTCAGGTGCAGCTCAAGGGTCCGTAACTTGGAAATAAGATGCTGTTGCCGGGACAACTGTTAGTTCTGATTGCTCAAATCTTACAATTAACGAAGAGTGGTTGATTAAAGAAAAAACAATGTTGTAATGTGGTTTTATGGAAGGAATTTTGTTCCATTATTGCTGCAAAGACCACTTTTTATGCAAAGTTTGAAAAAAACGTTTGATCAAAAAGAAAAAGTCTTTGGATTTGGAAAGGTTGCAGAGCTCTGGCCTAGTCAAAGCACAGACCTTTGTTACAGAGCCTGAATAGGTAGATGTTTTCAGACATTCTTCATCCATCTGGTCTGGCTGGTTTAAGTTTTTCTTTCAAAAATTATCCAAAGTTTGAGTCTGTTTAACACTTTTAGTAGAAATACATTTCAGCACCATGCACTGTTTACCTTCCACTTTACTACTATGTTCTACTTTTATATCTCATAAAACCCATCAAATATGATAAGGTTGAATATTATCAAATGCTCTGTAGTTTCATTCTAGTAAAACTAGAATAACATCAACATTGTTCCAGAAGGCTGGCTCCTTCCAGTGTGTACAGTTTTGTATGGGATGATTCTCATTTTGTCTAACATCCAATCAGAGTCCAGCTAAACCCTGATCTGCTGTCCCCCACAGCCAGAGACAAAGCCTGGGAGCTTAGTCTGAAGCTGGGTCTTAATGATGCTAATAGAGCAAGATGGAGACATGAGGAAGGGAAGAGAGGGACTAGGAAGGACGGAAAGGAACTGGGAAGGAAGGAAGGAACAGGGAAGGAAGGAACTAGGAAGGAAGGAAGGAAGGAACTAGGAAGGAAGGAAGGAAGGAAGGAACCAGGAAGGAAGGAAGGAACTAGGAAGGAAGGAAATAACTAGGAAGGAAGGAAGGAAGGAACTAGGAAGGAAGGAAGGAAGGAACTAGGAAGGAAGGAAGGAACTAGGAAGGAAGGAAGGAAGGAACTAGGAAGGAAGGAAGGAAGGAACTAGGAAGGAAGGAAGGAACTA